GTCTGTCCGTCCGGCGGTGGCTCGCGGTGCCCCGCGGTGTCCCGTGGTGTCCCGTGGAGTCCGCCGTTGCTAGGGCGAAGTCAAGACAAATGATTATCCCCCGCCCGCCCGTCCGTCCGTCCGTCTGGCGGTAGCTCGCGGTGTCCCGCGGTGTCCCGTGGTGTCCCGTTGAGTGAGATCGATAGTGAGATCGATACTGAGATCGATACTGAGAGCGATGTGGTGCCCCGAGGTGTCCCGTTGTGTCCCGTGGTGTCCCAAAAAGTGAGATCGATAGTGAGATCGACAGGTGTCTTGTGGTGTCCCTTGGTATCCCGTTGAGTGAGAGCGATAGTGAGATCGATAGTGAGATCGACGTGGTGTCCCGAGGTGTCCCGTGGTGTCCTATGGTGTCCCGTTGAGTGAGATCGATAGTGAGACCGATCGTGAGATCGAGAGGTGTCCCGCGGTGTCCTGTGGTGTCCCGTGGTGTCCCGTGGTGTCCCGTTGAGTGAGATCGATAGTGAGATCGATAGTGAGATTGACAAGTGTCCCGTGGTGTCCCGTGGTGTCCCGTTGAGTGAGATCGATCGTGAGATCGATTGAGTCAGATGTAGGTTCCCTCCTTCTCCCCCCCCCCACAACCTCCTTATCACCCGAAGGGTGGTCGTATAGCTAGCATGCGAAGACCTGAATGCTACACGGGCCCGCGCTTTTTCAAAACGAAAAGAAAAGAACTATCAATCAAACGCACGTCAGCCCCACCTGACCTACATCTGGCGAGTGCTCCAGTCCTTTGCAGCTGAGCAAATTGGAACATGTGTCAATTGCCTGACACCAGGAGCCCGTCGAGTCGTCTTCTAGTTGTCCGACATCGGATTTCAATGCTGTGGCGTTGAACTGTTGTGGTGATTGATCGCGTAGTTTCGATTTCAACGATTTGTCCACCAATCTTTGTTTTGCAAATTCGGTCGGGGCAGCAGGATCCAGCAGGGCAGAAAGAGGGCTCTGCAGCACGTAGCGCGTCTATTCGTGAGAGGCCTCGCCCTCTGCCGCAGGGCCCCCGCCGATGGCTTGCGCGGCTGGGCCTGGTCGGTCGGTTCGTTTGTGAGCTCGTTGGTCGGTTGGCTGTCAACCTGGCTGATTGGCTGGTTGTTTCGACAGGTAGTTGACAGTTGTTCTTTGGCTGGTCGCTGGCCGTCTGGATGCGCGAACGTAGGTATTTATAAAAAAGGGTACGTGGCATCCGGAGGGCGCGCTGCGATTCAGAATGTGCGAGGATTCGCGGCTTAGGAACGCGCATCCCTCACCGTTTCACTGGATTTGTCGCCTCGGGTCATTTGACAGAACATGACTTGTGGGGGGCTGGGGTTCCTCCTCCTCCTCCTCCTCCTCCTGGGGACGAGAAGCGCTCCCCGAACATGTATCACAATGCAGAACATGTTTCTGGCTCTGGAGAAGGGGAGTGTTTTTGAGCAGCCTCCGTAGGCGTGCGTGTGTGTGGCCTAGGGAGTGCGAAAGTGTAGCGGTCTACTAGGGAGTGTCGCGTCAGAAGCGCGAGCGCGACGGAATTTGGAAGAGATTGTGACCTCGGGAGCGCGAATGCGACGTAATTTGCGAGGGGTTTTAGCCTCTGGAACGCGAGCGCGTTGTTATTCATAAAGGATTGTAACCTCGGGGGGCGCGAGTGTAATGTCATTTGCAAGGGATTGCGGCCTCGGGCGAGCGAGCGCGTTGCAATTTACTGAGGACTCTGGCTTCTGGAGTGCGGAATCATGTTAATTTAGCAAGGAGTGTGGCCTCGGGCGCGTACTGCTGCTTTAATTCGCGAGGAGCATTGCTGCCTCGAGAGCGCGAATACGGAGTAATTTCAATGGGATTGTGGCTTTCGGAGCGCGAGCGCGCGGATTTTTTTCAAGAGATTGTGGACTCGGGAGCGCGAGAATGATATATTGCATAAGGGGTTGTGGTTTCGGGAACGCGAGCGCGCAGTGATGCACAACGATTTGCGTCCTCGGGAGCGCCCGCCCTGGCCCTGGCCCCGGCCCCGGGGGGGCTGGAGGAGGCCCGGCCCGGGCCGGGGCCGCGGCCACGGCTGGGGCCGTGGGGCCCGGAGCCAGGGCCGGGGCGGGGGCCGGGGGCGGGGCCAGGGCCAGGGCTGGGGCCGGGGCCTGGGCCGTGCCTGGGGCTGGGACCGGGGCCGGGGCCCTCCCTGTCCCCCCGGGGCCACCCCCTGGGATCCGCCGCGGCCCCCGTGGAGCGGCAATGCGACCCGGGACAGCCCCTCCGTGCTCCTTCCCCCCCCCCCCCCAAGGCAGGGAAAAAGGGCAGGGAGTCGACTTAATTCAATTCTCTTGGGACTAGCGACGATGACGACGTCGACGACAGTGTCTCACGCACGCCGAAGGGTCGGCGGATTCCTCCCCTTTCTGGTGATCTTCCTCCTCTTCCTCCCCTTCCCTTCTTCTCTTCCTCCTAGCCGACGGGCTCGTAGATGAGCGCCCCAGTCATCCTGGTGGTCCACCCCGACAACGCTTCGCACGCTCAACGCGCTTGCGAACCGGCTTGTGATGGCCGCTGGACGATCATAGGCGTGCCCATTTGTGGCTTCAGCTTCCACGGTGCAGCCAGGGCGGCTGCGGTAGGTGCAGCCGCGTGCCCTTTCGCCCCCGTCTCTCTTGGCGGGGCGCTCGGCCCTCCGCATGTCCGGCGTCGGGGCGGCGGGCAAGGACGGACATCATGAGTTGCACGGCGCCTCTTCGCCCCGGACGAATCAAACATTGCGAGGTTGAGAGTTCATCTCTGGGCGGGCTCTGTGCATGATGACGGGGGGCAGTCAGGAGGGGAAAAACCACACAGACACAGTTAATCGTCGATCCCCAAGAAAATATGGGAAGTGGGGGGGAAGACAAAAAAAACAGAAAATATATGAAAATATGGGGCATCCTATTATTTGTATGTATTTATTTGTGTGTTCCAGGGCCCCTTCATCATGGGAAGGCGGATTGAGACTACACGAGTTGCCCTTCGGGTGAGGCCCTCGTCGCCGCGGCCAGACGCAGCTCGGAACACTGGTGCCTTGGGACCCGGGGAGGGGTCCGGGGACCGATTCTGATCTGCTTGGTATCGCTCGGACGTGTGTGTGTGTGTGTTTTTTCTCGGCGGTGATTATTAAGGAGCATCCTTGATCATCCTTCGAAAAAACCACGCACGAAACCGAAAAACGCACAGGGAACGGACGTCCGAGCGACGGGGAGTTTGCCGTTGCCTCAATTCGCCATGCCCTGCGAAGGGGGCGGGGATCTCGACCTGACAGCGAGCCCCGGACAGAAAGAGTGCACTATAGGCTTGTGGAGGACGATCAATGGAGAGGACGCGTGCTGACAAATAACTCCCAGATGTCTAGAACATGTTTCAAACATGCTTTGGAAATCAAAAACATGTTCGAAACATGAAGATGCTTTTTACATAGTTTAAACACAGGATTGTTAGGGTAGGATTGTTAGAGTGTCCATTGTCATGGCATCCACAACACCAGGCCTGCGCACTGCGGCCCCGAGGCTTTGGACCGCAAGCCCTGGGGCCCAAAGCCCCCCCGAACCTCAAAATCCCAGACCGCCCACACGGGGGCCGCAGCGCACGGGGGCGGAGGATCGCGCCGCGTCGCCGAGGCAGCGGCGACGCGGAGCGGTCTGGGGCCTGCCGTTCTGCATGCCCGACGTCACCGATGCACTGGCGATGCGGTCTGACCGTGCCCGGATCATCCTGCGAGAAAAAACCACGCACGAACCCGAACAAGAACACAGGGGATGGACGTCCGAGCGATGGCCAGTAATGGGCCCCCGCGAAGCCCATGTCCGTCTCGAGACCCAGATTTTCACCAGGGTCACCTGAACGACGGATTGCAAAAAAACCCGAAGGATTGCAAAAAACCCGAAGGATTGCGAAAAAACAAGGCTTGCAAAAAACCAAGGATTGCAAAACACCCGAAGGATTGCAAAAAACCCTGGATTGCAAAAAAAACCCTTCGTTCGAGTGTGCGAGCAGGAGCTCTTGGCGCAGCGTGTCGCGCCGCCGGCTCCGGCGCAGAAACGCTCCGGCGCGGCACGCTCACGGCGCCCCGGGCCCCCGAGAGGCAACGTCCCGAGCTTCTCCTCCTCCTCCTCCTCCTCCTCCTCCTCCTCCTCCTCCACCTCCGACCTCCCTTCTCCTCCTCCTCCTCCTCCTCGCTGTTCCCCTGCCTCCGGGCTTCATGTCCCGTGGAGCGGAGCGACACGCGAGGAGCTCGCAGGGCTCAGGGTGTCGCCGGGGCCACCACCGAGACGTGCAAGGCAGGAGTGCCTGGCTGGCAATGTGCCGGAGGAGGGTGCCCGTTCGAGCAGGGGCCCGCCCGGGGTCTCCAGCGGCGGGCGCTGGATTTTGTAGCGCATGCCCGACTGGAGAGGCGCGAGTCAGGTACCCCTTCATGTTCACGCTTTCAGATGTTCTGCCGTGGGGGGAGGATGACAAGGAGGATTTGCCCTCGACTCCTGATTTCCTGTTTTGTTTCGTCGGCTTCGGCCTCTGGGGCCCTGTTTGGGGCCCTGTCTGACTCACGGCTGCAGCGCTTTGCACCCGCATCGTGTTCTCAGGAGTCTGCTCGTTCGACTCAGCTCAGCAGGTACGCGCCTTCGGGTTTATGACGGCGCAGAAGCAGGGTAGGGAAAGAAGCCTCCTCTGAGACGAGGAGGTGAGACCACGATCACGACGACCACGACCACGACCACGAACACCATGACCACGACCACGACCACGACGACGACGACGCCGACGACGCCGACGATGCCGACGACGACGCCGACGACAACGCCGACAACGCCGACGACGACGACGCCGACGACGACGACGACGGCGACGACGACGGCGGCGGCGGCGGTGGGCGGCGGGCAGCGGGCGGCGGTGGGCGGTGGCGGAGGCGGCGGCCGTTGCGAAGACGGCGCCGACGACGCCGCTGCCGCCGCCGGCCGCGATGCCCCCTGGAGGCCGACCCCCGCGGCCAGCCGCGGAGCGGCTCGGTCGAGCCCGGCGGGCCGCACGGCGCGGCCGCGGAGGCGCCTGCGGCGCGAGCCTCCCGCCCTCGGCGGCCCCTCGGCGGCCCCTCGGCGGTCCTCGGCGGCCCCGCGGCAGCGGGGCGGCAGCTCTCCGGCGGCACCTCGGCGGCGATTCGGGGGCCCTCCGGCGGCGTCCCGGCGGCGCGGGCCTCGGCGGCAGCGGCGACGTGCTCGTCCTCCGGGGTTGTGGTTGCTGTTGTTGTTGTTGTTGTTGTTGTTGTTGTTGTTGTTGTTGTTGTTGTTGTTGTTGTTGTTGTTGTTGTTGTTGTTGTTGTTGTTGTTGTTGTTGTTGTTGTTGTTGTTGTTGTTGTTGTTGTTGTTGTTGAACATTATTAATTCTAAAGAATAATTATTGTTGGGACCCCTGGTGCACGGCCCCCCTGCGCCGCCTAGGCCGCAGCTACATTTTCATCATTTTCGTGAGGAAGCCTCAGGTAATTCGATGTGATCAAGATCCGGTTGTTTTGTTGTAATCCGCTTTCCCTTGCAAAAAACACTATAAAATGACATTTCTTGTTCTAATATAATCAAATTTCAAGAATCCCTTGCAAAAAATAAGGTAAAGTGGACATTCGCGCGCGCAAGACGAAATCCTTCCAAAAGCTTAGTGTTCGGAGCGATTTTAACATAAAAACATCAAAAAACCAATTGTTTTTCAACAAAAAAATGTCAAAATCTCATCCCGCGCGCTCTTGCGGATTCGTAGGAAAACCAACACTTTTTAAACATTTCTGTCAAACGGGCTTTTGCGAGCAACTTTTTCGAACTTCTGCGACAACGGTTGCGCACCTGCCAGGGCCATCATCCCTGTCAAATAATACCATCCGCGCATTGCCCAGCATGGCACAATTGCACCATGCTGGGCACATGCGCGCCCCGAATAAGTGACCAAGTTCTGTGGGTGTGTACCCCACGCCAGTGTAGTAGCCACGGTCGTCCGCACGCCACGAAGTGAAGTGTCCCAACGTCATAGGGCGGGAAGCTGGGTTTGGGTGGTCGCGAAGAGTCGTTTGGATATTTGGTAGAGCTTGTAATGCCCCCCCACGAAGTGGGGGTATTGCCTGGTGTCGTATGAAAACCCTGGCACTGGGGAGAACACCACGCGTTCGGGTAAAATGATTGTTGTTGTTGTTGTTGTTGCTCTTGCTCTTTCTCTTGCTCTTGCTCTTGCTATTGTTGTTGTTGTTGTTGTGGTTGTTGTTATTGTGGTTGTTGTTGTTGTGGTTGTGGTTGTTGTTGAACTCTCACTTCTGAAGAATAGCTGTTGCTGATCCCACCTCGCCGGTGCATACTTTTTTTTCTCAATCAAAGTGTGCCTCTCGACGCTCGCATCTTGTTTTTGACAGGGAAAGTCTTCCTGCTCAAACTGTGCCCCTGACCCCGCGGATTACAACAACAACGGCTCCCGCCTTGGAATTCCTCCGAATTTACCTATACGACCACCCTTCGGGTGATAAGGAGGGTCGGGGGGGGGGAGGAACCAACGTCTCACTCGATCGGTCTCGCTATTGATCTCACTATCGATCTCACTATCGGTCTCGCTCGATCGATCTCACTCGCTCGATCTTACAATCGATCTCACTCGATCTATTTTATTCGATCGATCTCACAATCGATTTGACGATCGATATCACAATCGATATCACTATCGATCTCACTATCGTTTTCACAATCGATCTCACAGTCGGTCTCACCATCGATCTCACTAGGTATCGATATCACAATCGATCTCACAATCAACGTCAGCATCAGCATCATAATCAACACCATCGTCATCAACATCATCGCATCATCATCATCGGGACACCATCATCATCATCACCGCATCACCATCATGATAAAAATCATCATCACCATCATCATCATCGGGGCACCAGCATCGTCACCATCACCTTCAACATCACCATCATCGGGACGCCATCATCATCATCGTAACACCACCACCATCATCATCATCATCATCATCATCATTTCATCATCATCATGAACAACATCATCAATATTATGATCATTGGGACACCATCATCATCAGCAACAGCACCATCATCATCAACATCATCACCATCATCGGGACACCATCATCATCCTTATCATCAACATCATCACCATCGTCATCATCGGGACACCGTCATTCTCATAAACACCAGCACCATCATCATCACCATCATCGGGCCACCATCATCAACACCGTCAGCATCACCTCATCATCATCCTCATCATCAACATCATCATCATCATCGGGACACCATCATCGTCATCATCAGCACCATCAACATCATCATCATCATCGGGACACCACCATCATCATCACCACCCTCAACAGCATCATCATCAACCCCATCATCATCATCGGGGCATCATCAGCTTCATCATCATCATCATCATTCCATCATCACTTCATCATCACCAACATCATGATCATCAACATCATCATCATCATCACCATCGAGACACCATCATCGTTACCATCATCAGCAACATCATCAGCATCAACATCATCTTCATCATCGGGACACCATCATCATCACCACCATCACCATCATCATTATCATCAACATCATCATCATCATCGGAACACCATCATAATCAGCACCATCACCGCCACCACCATGACCAACATCATCGACATCATCATCATGATCATCATCATCATCATTACATCATTTCATCATCACGAACATCATCATGATCATCAACATCATCATCATCCCCATCGGGACACCTCATCATTACCATCATCAGCAACATCATCATCATCAACATCATCATCATCATCATCGGGACACCATCAGCATCACCACCATCACCATCATCGTTATCATCAACATGACCATCATAATCGGGACACCATCATAATCACCACCATCACCGTCACCATCATCACCAATATCATCGACACCATCATCATGATCATCATCATTATCATCATCATCATTATCATCATCGTCGGGACACCGACGGGACACCAGCGGGACACCGGCGGGACACCGCGGGCCACCGGCCCCCGGAAAGGAATCATTTGGTCCGGCCGCGCCTCAGCCGGAGGCGGGATACCGGCGGGACACCGCAGGCCACCGGCCCCCAAAAAGGAATCATTTGTCCTGCCGCGCTTCAGCCGGAGGAGATTTTCTTTTCGCCCGCCCACGCAGCTTCGCCTCGCCCGCACGCACGGCACGCACGAACACGAATCCGAAACCGATTTCACGGTAGGGGGGCTCTGTTCCACTTCGATCTCACCCCCTCACCTCCGACTCAGGACCCCCGCTCCCGCCTGAGACTTCTTCACAATTTACTTAAGATCGGTGCTTCCACTTGTGATTTCATCGCAGTTTGTCGGGACCCCCGCTTCCAGTTTAGACTTCCTTACAATTTACTCAGGAACGGCGCACCCCCTTGAGACTTCTTCGCAATTTAGTCAAGACTTCTTCGCAATTTAATATAGACCCCCGCTCCCGCCAGAGAACCCTTCACATGTTATTCAGGAATTGCGCTCTCGCCTATGACGCCCATGCAATTTATTCAGAAATCGCGCTTTCGACGCTTAGGAAACACGCTGCGCCAAGGACGCCGTCACAATTTACTGAGGAATCGCGCTCTCGCCATACTCAGGCATCCCGCTTGAATGTCCCACCGCCCGACCCGCCCGTCAGGGGATCACCCGCCCGTCGTGGGTTCCCGCCCGAGATTTCCTTCAGGAACGGCGCTTTCGCCTAGGACTTCATCGAACGTTCACGCTCTTACCTTCCTGTGCCTCCTCCCTCTCCCTCCTCCCTCCTCTCCTCCCTTTTCTCTCTCCCTCCTCTATTCCCTCATCCTTATGCCTCTCTGCCCTGTCCCATCTCCATCCTCTCCCTCCTCCCTTGTCCCTCCCCTCTCCTGTCTCCTCCCTCCCTTTTTTTTTTGTTTTCTCTCTCTCTCTCTCCACCTTCTCTCTCTCTCTCTATTTCTCTACCCCTCTTATATATACTTTTGTTTTCTTCTCTCTCTCTCTCTCTATCTCTCCGCCTCTAATCAACCGCCCCCCTTTTCGCTCCTTCTCTCCTGGCGTTTTCCCTCCTCCTTCGTCCCTCCCCCTCCCTTTTTCCCAGTCTCCCTCGTTCTCCCCCTCCTTTTTTTGCCGGACACCAAGTCCAATGGAGGGCACATGTAAGCCCACGGATTGTCCGCCGTCTCAGTTTTGCCCACATGTCTAAGCTCGCCGCCCCCCGCAAAGAGAAATAATCCCCCCAGAGGGGGTGTGATCGAAGACAAAAAGGGCGGGCGTCGAGGGTGTAGGGAACTCGTGTTGAATGACACACAGGCAAGTGAGAGCGAACAGTCTTAGAATGATTGTTGTTGAATTCTCATCTCTGAAGAATTATTGTTGATCCCCCCCGTCCGGTGCACATTGTTTTTTCTATCGAAGTGCCCTTCCAGGGGCTCGCACCCTGTTTTTTCCCAACCCTCCTGCGTTGGGTTCTTGAATAGAGCACTGCTCGCGCGTCTCCTTCCTTCCCGCCCCCTCCCGTCCCTCTCTTCCTCCCTGCCTGGGGGGGCTGCGATCTGTGAAATTGTCGCCACTTTCGAGGCCTGCTGGGGGGCCCATCACAGTGGGTATTCACCGCAGATTCAAATTAGACCTCGCCATCCCTGTGGGGCTGCGATCTGCGAAACTGTCGCCACTTTCGAGGCCTGCTGGGGGGCCCAGCACAGTGGGTACTCACCGCAGATTCAAACTAGACCTCGCCATCCCTTGGGGGCTGCGATCTGCGAAACTGTCGCCACTTTCGAGGCCTGCTGGGGGGCCCAGCACAGTGGGTACTCACCGCAAAGTCAAACTAGACCTCGCCATCCCTGGGGGGCTGCGATCTGCGAAACTGTCGCCACTTTCGAGGCCTGCTGGGGGGCCCAGCACAGTGGGTACTCACCACAGATCCAAATTAGACCTCGCCATCCCTGGGGGGCTGCGATCTGCGAAACTTGCTGGGGGGCCCAGCACAGTGGGTACTCACCGCAGATTC